CGATTGAGTGCGAGTGGAGCGACACGATGATGTGTCCTGTGCATGTCTCCGTTTGCCTCAGTGTCGGCTCCATGTCGCTTGTCTGTCTGGCGGTCTGGACGACTGACTGGCTGGCTGACTGGTTGGTCAGTTGGCTGAATGGCTGAATGGCTGGGTGGCTGGCCGTGCGTTCAGTTGGCCGACGCTGGGCCGGTTGAAGTGCGACGCCGGGCTGTCGAGAAGCCACGTGTTTGCCCACCCTATCGCGTCCAGCCGTCAGGCCGATACTCGCCGGTACAGCTCGTCTCGCCAGTCTCGCCGTTCCACATGCTCGCCTCACCTCGTGCTTCACCTGCCTCGCCCTGAATCCCCATCTTCCACCTTTCACCTTTCACCTTCCACCTTCCACCTTCCGTCTACCATCCTCCATCCTCCATCTTCCATCTTCCATCTTCCATCTTCCATCCTCCATCTTTACCTTTTCTCAGGTCCTACGCCTACTCACCTGGCTGTGGCGGTGACTACGACTTCTTGTGTGCGGTAATGTTGATGTTGGTGCTAGTGTTAGTGTGAGTGTGAGTGTGAAGTACCTGCTCGACGCTCGTCCGTCCGAGGACGTGTCGAATGGGCCCCGGCGGCTGGTGCATTTGTGCCTACTTGTGTGGTGCATGTGTGAAGACCACCGGATCCTCTATCCTCTCCATGCCTGGAAGTACCCCGCCCGGCGCTGCCCGCCTTGACGACTGCGTAGACTGTGGATTTTCCATACACCTCTGAGGTAAGCGGTCCTCCGTCTTGCATTTATCCTTTCACCTTTCACCTTCCACTCACACACACACACACAAACAATCACACTCCTGCGTGTGCGTCGGACTTGATAACTAAGTTCGTGTGTTTGTGAGACTTGATGACTGAATGTATTCTCGTGTCGCTTTGAGACTGTCATGTGGTGGTTCTTCTTTGGTTTGACCCTTCAAGCAGTCTCGTGACGTGGGGCCTCTTTTACCGTCGCCCGCTCCAGTCGTCATGCC